CGCGATCGAAGAATGGTTCAGTTCAGTTGGCTGACAATGGGAATTACGAGACGTTCACTCTTGCTGCAACAACTTCAATTCTAAATCAGGACGAGTGTGAATGGACGGAGATGGAAACGAAGACGAATGATGAAGGATCGTTGCTGCTCGATTTTCAGATTCTCCTTTGGAATATATAATCCTCCGAGTTAAAGAAGCAGATGTTTCAGTATCGAGAGAGAAACTTACAATGAGTTAGTGTTTAAAATTTCCTTCGTTATATAAATCTTGCGATGTAACAATCATACACCTTCATTGTCTTAATAGATATTTTTATTTATTTGCATTAATACTTGGTCAATCAAAGTCACATATAGAAATCTTGATTACTTTTGTCGGAATATCTTCAATATTGCAAAGAGAAATTTACAATGAGTTAGTCCTTAAAATTGTCCTCATTATATAAATCTTATGATGTAAACAATCATATGCATTCATTATCTTAAAAGATATATTTATTTATTTATTTAGACTAATATTTGGCTAATCAAAGTCGTATTTGTGAGTCACATTTACGAAAGCGTTGATGTTTTTGTTGGAATTTAGAAAGGACGAAAATATTCGAAATTATATATTACAAATGAAAAAGTTTCGACAAGATTCTATTTTACGTGCGCCGATGAATTATTGCTCTAATGGAATGTATTTCGTCGTTGTGAGCTTGAATAAAATTGAAAACAACGGAAAATTGTGGCAAAATGATTCTACTCTGTTCTACTTTATTCGACCAAGGAGAAACTGTCACGTCACGTCCCGGTGTAATGGTACAGACGTCTCTTAGGAACTTGGACGAGTTGAATGGTGAATTTGAAATTACCCGAGCTGCATGCGCCATTGTAGACCTTCCTGAGTGATAATCTCGATCTACAAGCTTCCTGCCTGAGGCTGCATTCGTTCGAGTATGTTTTACCGTCGCTTCCGCAAACTGGTGCGAACTCAAGGCCGCACTGTTCACCGCAACGGCAGCCAGGTTGCCTCGAGTCGTCCAGCTGACAGATTTCCGGCTCTACGCACTCCACGTTGCCGCACGGATCTGGAAAATTAAATTGCGGTACGTGCTGGTTGAAGAGTCACGTCCAACACTTCGTGCAATGAAGACGTGCTGCTAGTCAAACGTCCGACACGATTGTAAATTCTTTCGCGTTCGGGTACGACCGAGCTACGTTTTCCTTGACTTTTCCTTCTTATTTCGCAATAAATCGTTATCTATTTCTCCTGTCCTAAATTAATCGCGTTCAACAGAGAGTTTCAATTACATTTATCTTTTGGCGATATTCGAGATTGCGATGTCTCTTCTTTCACAGTAATTGAAGAACAAAGTACATTGTAGGAAAAAAAGAAAAGAACAAAGTAAACGAGCAAAGGGCAATCACTTCAGGGAGGGTGAACTTCTTCTCTCTGTGAAATATTAATTTCGTTTACGGAAATCAACGTTTCATCGCCGAAAAAATGAAGTCTGTGCAACGCGAGCCAACAGCCACTTCCGTTGACGGATTGCGGGAACGAGTTGAAAAAGAGACGCTCTAGGGAAATTCACGTGACCCCGCGCGGTTAGGTTAGTTGGAGTATCAGATTGATAAAACCAGATGATGGAAAGGAGCCGATGAGACGCGAGCGAGGAGAAGTACAAGGGGTAGGTAAAGAGGGGGAGAGAGTGGTGGCTGGACGAGCCACCGTGGCACAGGTAGAAGCATAGCTGCACCGAGATTAATCTTCACCCCCAAGGAAGGAAGTTGGAATCCGTTTCCTGTCCGTAGGCTAGGTAGGTTTCGATCTGACGCGGCAAGTTGCCGAGGTGGTGGTGTTTCTCGGGGTTAGTTCGAGTTACAGACCAGTGGAGCGGCTAACCTTCCGCAACCACCCTCGTTTCTTCCTCGTCTGCCCCGCCAGTTTAGTAGCTCGTCCACAAGAGTTGCAATCGAGGTCCCCTATCCCATTCTCTTTTCTGCCACGCAAATATTCCCCGCGTAGCTCGTAACGGTTACGCTTTCGCGCCGAATTCCCACGTGCCCAGGCCGTAAACGATAATTTACGAGCCGCTAAGTGCAAGCTACGATTTCCTTCCTTCGTTCGCCCGTCCGGATCGCAGACTTCCTCCGTATCTCTCCCAACGGTCAAATATTTTCATTCACGCTTTTGCTTTACTTTGGAAATTTGCCGAAATTGACGTACCGCTTTTCACACACGTACACACATGTAATACGTTCGCGAAAGCAATCGAGATAATGGTGGAAAATTGAATTTACTGGAACAATGCAATCCTAAAAGCTGAAACTTAAATAAATATATCATCTATATACGTTTGAAGCTGGAGCAACATTCGAAGTTTTCAGAATATATCTATCACTTTGAGACCGTTGTTCCCTAACTCGCGCTGTCCCTTCCCCTCGATGGAAAATTACAACGATTAACGCGTCCAACTTCGCGAACTTCCCATCGCGAAAGCGCGATGTATCTCAATTTAGCAGGTTTAACTCGCACGCGGTTATCTTCGGATTAAACCGGGCTACTCGATCGTTATACTCGGCGAGTGTAATAACGGTTGAAAGCGTCGTCGAACTCCTCGAGTTCGTATCCCGGGATCCTCCGGTCTTCTTCAAATTCTAGCCACGACTTATTCTCAAAGACAGCGAACCCCACGCGAGCATCTAAGCTGGCGCTCTAACTTTCCACGACATTACCCTGATGCGAATTTCTTTTGTGTTATCGCCGCGGCATCTCCGAGAGATCTCCTTCCCTGTGTCTATCGGCGTCTGTTCGTCGTTATCCGGAAAGCTACGCGTGGCGAGTGCACGTAACGACGTCGGCTGCGCGGCGGGCACTTCCGGCAGTTAGCCACTTTAACAAACGGAAGAAACAAAGAAACGAGAGAGAGAGAGAAAGAGAAAGCGCCAATTCACCCGTCCGACTCGCTTTTAATCAGACACTTTCCTCGAGCAACCCTTAAGAATTAATTTCCGCGGGGAACGGAAGCTTCGATTCCTCCTCCCGGTGGTAATTTTTCCGCCCGGTGAATATAACTCAACAGAGGAGGGTGGCAAAAAAAGAAAAAAAAAAGGGAAACTGAACAGGGTGGCATTAAAACAACATTGAATATAAAGCGGTCGCGTGAAAGACGAGAAACGGGAGAACGGGGAGGTGGGGAAGGGGATGGGCGAATGAAAAAAGATCAGGACAGACCGGCGTCACTTGAAACCGTAAAACCCCTCGTAAATTGCCTTAAAACCCTTCGATCGTGGACAGAGTGCGTCGAGTCCTCGGTTCTCGCCCCTCCCTCACACCCCTCGGGCGATTTTGTCGAACAAAAGCCATCCGGACTGTCGATAAAAGTGTGTTTAAAATTCCCGCGTCGCCGCGAGGCGAATTGTTTTTAAGTCCGTCGCTAAGAGCTGTGCCACTTCGCCCCCTGCCCCTCCGTCGTTTTTTCTCGCCTCTTGGTGGCCGACGACCTTCCTCCCTCGCCTTCCTCTCAACGGCTGTCTTCAACGGCCTTGTCTAATCTTCCGAGTTACGCGAAACTTTCTACGCGGATCTCCACGGCTACTTTTTTCCACGCCCTTCCTTCCCCCCCCCCTCCCCGCGCCGTCTTGGGACTTTCCACGACGATCCTTCTTCGTCGTTCGCCAGCCTGAACCGTGACCTCACGGTCGCAATACGCGCGCGCGCGCGCTCGTATTTTACATTCTCGCGGAATAACTTTCAGAAAGGAATAATAAGCGACGGGGCGGAATAAGAAAGAAGTTGTCCGCGAGGAGAGGGTAAGTGGCGGATAAAGGGAATTGAATTGAGTTTGGTCAACGAATTGAAAGATCGCTAACTTCTCTCGCCACTTCACCCTCCTTCCCCCGCTAGTCGCGTTTCACCGTCTGCATTCTTATTCCGCGCTTCGTTATTGTTCCGGACGGTTTATCCCTTTCAGACGCTCTCCTCTGTTTGCACCTTTCGCCAGTCCAACGAGCAAGATGTAACGACGGTGTTCGAAAACGACGAGTTTAAACATTTCTACGTTTCTCGCGTGGAAGCTCGAACGTGTTCGAACACGGGATGAAAGAAGGGAGAATCGCAACTCGCGATGGCTAATAGCGAATAATCTAGAGACGAGGGAATTCCTTTCTGTTGTAAGAGGGTGTAGGAATTTTCTTTCTGTGAAATTTCCGGCGAACGTGTAGCGAACGTGAAGCTTCGGAAGCTTCACGGGCCCACGAGTTGGAAGTTTCGCGCAGCTCGTGCGTCGTTTCAATGGAATTGGCAGTTTTGCATAGCTCCGGTTTCATGTTCGGTAGTTGCGGCGGTTTTACGCGGGGCTCGCGCGGTTTCGAAAATTTCGCAACTTCATGTACGACTGATGTTTACGGGAAATTTCGCCGAAGGTTAGCGAAGGCAGCGTTGCAGTTCCCCACTGAGGCAGAGTTGAAAGGTGAAACTTAGTTGCAGGTCGATCATCGACGAACTTTCGTTTCGTTGTGAAACAAAGTCTCAAAATTATAATCCCTTCTTCGAAAGTTTTTCCACGACTACCGTTCCTTTTTCATTTACGTACGATAAATCAATTGAATTGATTTAGGCTAGAAACACGCGTGGATGAAACAGGCAGAATTATACCGTCGACGAATTATACAATCAAATTATCCAGCTTAACCCGCGGATATCGAATCATTGATATTAGTAGTAGCGTTCGTTGTAACAAGCGATGTGCTTTGCTTTCGACGTAGTATTTTTCTAGCCAAAATACATTAGCTCAGCTTTTATTCTTTCGTTTTTATAGAAATCATGTTTATTAATGAAAGTTATAATGGCAAGCGAAGCAATTAATATAATTGATCCTAGCTTGCTCCAGTTAGCACAAAATAAATTCCTCGATTTCGAATGTATTAATTCGCTGAATTTAGACGCAGTGGTCAACGCATGCACGTAGCAATCACACGAGCGAATACGTTTACTAGGAATAACAAATACTTAACTTTGATACTTAATCGACACTTGTCCCGATACCATCTGCAAATATATAAATCCACCAATCGACACGTACGTGTGATTTGCAACTACAAATTACTCGTCCGCGTTGTGCCAATTGAACAGAGTCACTATCGACTCGTCTATATCGATCTAAGCTAATTAAATTCCCAACAAGCGCGAAATCCACCCCAAAACAAATTGCATCGAACTAGCGAACCCCGAACCGTTCGACAGACCGTCAGGTCAGTATTCTCTTTCTCGTCAACGAGTATCACGAGTTTCGATAGTTGCGAAGCCAGAGAACACGTCACGAGGAACACGAGGATGGAAAGTTGGGGATGTCGTTGAAAGGAGCAATGTCTGAGTTTATGTTAACAGCGTCTTGGCAGTTGCTTTCCGCTCGCGTGTACCGGCGGTAAGCCACTTTCGTTCGATCTGCGGCATCCCCGAAGTGCGCGGGGAACTCGAACGACGAATACAGGCAGACTAGACAGGTGGCAGTCACTTAGGCTCGAGGCGTGTAAACATGAGCGCGTAAGAGCATCCTACTGGATACGGCGATGATAATTTACGAGGATAGGTGCAAAGCACGGGGATGCTTCCTGGGTGAAGATCCCCCTCCCTCCCCCTTCCTTAACCGTTGTATCGTAAACGGGCTACTTTGCCAAGACACCGAGTCGCCGAAAACGTTTGGTTGTTTGATGATAAATCTCTTCGAAGAGACACGCTCCGTGTCGTGGCACGTGTCGTTGGTGAATTATAAGTGATTACACGGATGAATGCAGATGCATTCGGCGTCGGGTCTCCGCGCGCAGCCGTGATTTGCATGCAGAATTTCGCGGTTTGATTTCATCGCGATGCAATCACGGTGTAACCGTTTGATGATAATTTACCAGGCCAGGCTCTTTCGATCATTTCGATGCACTGTCGCTGATATACACTCTCTCCGTGCAACGCCACTTGTATTGTTACAGAGTTCGGCCTCGGATTTTTCAGAGAAAAATTGAAACATAAATTGGGGGAAAATTGCATCGGAGGTGCGAGTTTAGGGATGCCACGCCGGTGTTGTTTCATCTTTTCCGACGAAAATCCAGTTTCGCGCGCGTGGATTCGTGGGTCTCAATACTGAAAAATTCAGGTAACATTCAGGTACACTGTATCTACGTAATCTCTAATCTGTGATCTACGTGAAATACTCTTCCCGAATTCGTTTCGAAAGAGGCAGA